GAGGAAGAAAAATGCAGAATTGCTAGAAAGTTTGGCACAGCTGTAACTAAACAAGTTTATGTCGATGCAAATTACTTTTCATTCCCACAGGAATAAATTATCCAAAGGAAATCTGAGTTACATTTTGGAAAATCTTAATTTTTTTTTAATTCTTTAAACTTTTTGCATAAATTATCATTTAAATGTCAAGTGAAACTAGTATTATTTATAATTAACTGTTAACTGCTGCTACAATAATTGCCCTCATGTAGCAGATGCCATACATCAGATGCGATATTCAAACCTCCCATTTTCCTAATCATCCTGAATGGCATGCTGAAGCACATGTATCAGACTTCTTCCTCTTTCAAAGAAATTAGGTTCAGCAGTGGTTTCACTATCAACATTAAATCCTCAGGTATCTCTGACTTAAACAGAATAGTGAGATGACACATAGTAGTTTCTTGTTTAAGACCTTTCAGAATTTGATCCACAGTAAATTAAAATTGAGTAATCACTGTGTGAGTATGACTAGGTTATTCTAGAATGAGTTCCAGCATCCGTTAAAACTACAGTGAACTACAAATGTTTCTATTCCTAGTATTTTCTTTCTTTGGAACGGATGTCAAAGTCAACAACAAAGAAACAACTAGCTTAAACAAATTGCCTCATACAAGTAAATTCTATCATAAAGTAATGGAAAGAGTAATAAGTGGACTATCTGAGAAGTATATGTCTAGATTAACATGTTAAAAGGTCAAGAAGTTTAGGAGTCTGGGCAACCACATAATATAAACCACAGCACTTCACTATTAAATTCTGCAGTTAGATTAATTCACTGTGTATTAAGTCATAGAATCCTATAACAAAAAATAGCTAAGAATTGGTTTTAGCACATTGGATTTTAAAAATTTCCTTCTTGTTTCTTACTGAGAAACATATTAATGGAAAAATTCATTCTAGGATGGAGAATGTATAGGAACTAACCTGTAAGTAGAAGAATATGACACCTAAACTATCCCACTGTGACACCCGAAGGAACTTCTTCCATGGGAGTATATACATAAGGAAATAGGAATCTTCTTACACAGAACGGATGCTTTACATGTGTAAATATGACCTCAGACACAATTACTAAATTTGGAAATATATTTTATATATCTCTCATGCAAATACTAGTTTCTGTACAGTCAGTAAGTGTATATGGAAATTTTGTGGGCACTGTGTGAGCGGACATTTTAAAACATCACTGGCTTCATACAGGTCTGATGTTGATGAAATCAGATTCAGCTATATCTTAGATAAACAAACATCTGTTGCATGACACAGTATTTTCTTTCCTGACTCTTCAGTTTTCAATGGCACAATTCGTAAAGATGTTAATTTAAAAATATAGGTAAAAAGAGTTGATTTGTTTTTCTAGTAACTGGAAACTTACATGAAATTTTAAAATTCAAAATAATTTCCATTGTTATTATTTTATGAGCTCCATTACATAAATATTCATTGAGAAGACCATTATATAGCTACCTAATACCTATATTACAGCAACATCTAGAAATAGTCTTTAAATTTTACTCTTTAATTGTTCTGTTAAGTGAGGACATCAGTTTTACTATCAATGAAGATTAGGAGCCTGCTGAGTAATATATGCATTATGGATTTTTGTGGATTTTTATAGGTTATACATATGGCTATGCCTGACAGAAATATCCCTTATTTAAATACAAGATATAGGTATGTGGCTTATATTAAGTCATTGGAACTAATAACCACAAACAGAGAAATTATTTTATTGAAATCAGTGAGAATTATGTATACCTCAACAGTGTGATTAACTGTTTGTTTAAAAATTTCAAAGTAAACAGAACAAAAAATTACCCAAGGTTGAAATGAAAGACAGTCCTCCGTGCAATGGCTGAGATTATCCTGCACGGGTTACATCATGGGTCTCAGAGGAAGTTCTGTAGGTATTAAGAGTGTAATCACATTTTCCTGTTTGTTCATTCTTATTAGGCTTTTTTCCTTTCCCTAGTTCATGTAGAACACCTATTTAAACACCCAAACGACACCTAAACAGCTGAAAAAATACAAATATGTTTGTCAACATGTAAATTTTTGTCCATTAACAGCTGCAGAAGCCCATGGTCCTTCATTACTGAGAACCCTTATGGAAGTCAGCAGTAATTACCTAAGGGAGAATCATTACATGCGCACTATTTTCAAATTCAGAACTAAAAAAAAAAAAAAAAAGTGGTTAATTCTTTGTAACTCATTTTTTCATTTCTTCTTTTGGAAAAAACTCAATAACTAACAAATCAGCTTCCAAAAATGAAGATACTTTTAGTGTTGCTTAAAAAGTAACATAATTTTCAGTGTATCTATACACGGAATCAATATTTACAGGCTCAGCGGAGAATCCAAAGGTGCTTTTTGTGAGGGTGTAAACTACAAATATAGGTAAGTATAAATAGTCAGGTTTCTCTCACATTTAAATATAGGCAATCATATGGAATTTTAATACAAGGATCACAGTCTTTAATAAGACATACAGAGCAATCACCTAGCACTTGTTTCCATGCTACTGAAGTTAAAGGGGTGTTGGCCTGACAGGGTCTCATGGTTCAACCAAGCCCTACAGAGCCTCTTTCTCACTTCTCCAGCAAGGAGATTATGGAGAAAAACAAAAGAGTAAAAGCTGGAAAACTAGTGGGTTGAGATATAGACGGTTTAATAAGAAGACCAAAAGCCATCAACATAAGCAAAGCAAAATGAGGAATTCATTCACTGCTTCCCACAGGCAGGCAGTTCAGCTATCTCCGGGAGAGCAGGGCCCCATCACATGTAATGGTGACTTGGGAAGACAAGCACCATCACTTCAAATGTCCCCCCCTTCCTCCTTCTTTCCCCCACTTTATGTACTGAGCATGATGTCATATGGTCTGGAATATCCCTTTGGTCAGTTGGGATCACCTGTCTGGAATGTGTCTCATCCCAGACTCCCATGCACTCCCAACTTCTTGCCAGCATGGCAGTACGAGAAGCAGAAAAGGCCTTGTCTCTGTGTAAGTGCTCCTCGGCACTTACAAAACATCTCTATATGCTCAGCACAAATGCAAAACATAGCCTTATATCAGCCACTGTGAAGAAAATTAACTCTACCCCAGCTGATACCAGCACACAGCAACATAAACTTCAGCTCTCATAAAAAAGGAAAAATGCTAGTGCTGCTTAATTAATGACTATGTACTAAAAAAGGCAGTAAATACGTCAGATAAGACACTGATAAGAACAAAGTCATCTGTGAAAAATCGCGTAAGAGAAAATCACAAGCAGTTTTTCAAAGCAAATAAAATAAATATTCTCATGTGTGTTCCCACTTGCCTCCTGTGCGCTAAGATAGCATGTCACCACGCCTGTGATTGAAACTTACCTCTTTATTGTTTTGGGTTTTTTTTAATCTACAACACACTAAAAGTTTATGGGTGGCAACCTCCAGTACCTTCCTCTGGAATGCCAGATCTATGAACTGCAGTTCCACTTTACTGACCAGTTTCATCGACTCTCTTGACTAGATTTTGAATTTTTAGGTTTGTCTGTAAACTAAGACATAACATTGACAACTCCAAGTTAGCACCAATCCAGGGCTGTGCAAGACCATATATTTTTGCAACTGCTTAAAAGACAAAAATAAAGGTACTGATCCATCAGCATTTTCTTAGTGAATTTCAAATTTATAAACATACTGATTCTCAAGGTAGGATCTATTAGTATAGTCTTTTATTTGTGCTTAACTCATCTCCAGCTTAAATATTTATTTGACAGGATACAAACTATGCAGGAGCAAAATGAATAGGGACAAAAGGTTATGGAAGAGTTTGGAGTTTGAGAGTGATGATTTCTCGTGTGACAAAAATGTTCTTGAAAACCAAAAATAATAACAACAGTCATTGACCAAAAATACCATTTGAAAATGGTTTAACTTTTAAAATGAAGGCTAATATACTAAAAGTAACTTATTATTGCTAATCTATTCAGAGATGCAATGTAAAAAAAATATACAATACAAACAAAAGTTTCTAATTCTAATAAGCATGGGAGAACTGACAGCACTGACACAAAACTAAATATGCAGACAGTGATGATGATTGTTCTATTATTACCTTATAATAATCTGTCTGGGAACACAGCCAGATTTATTCAATAAAAAGAAAATATAAACATGATGGAAGTAAATAATTTCAGTCACAGGAAATAAAAATATCAGTATTCAAGTTCTTGCCCAAATTCTGCCCACCTTTCCACCTCTTCAGCAATACACACGGCATGACAGCTATGCAGGCAGGAAGAAACACCTCTCATTGTAACTGTCTATTATATAGTTGTGGGAGTATAAGGGGAAGAACCGGAATAATTGGAGCATTCCAGGTTCTCCATTACAGGAAGGCTGCTTTCCTATCACTCCACCCTACAAAAGAAAGATTGAAAATTCCTCTGTTGCTATTTATTTCTGAGATAGGACAACACTTTGGAAAAGCGGAAGTAAACTGTGCTCAGGTAGAGGAGAGATCCGGGTTTTTTAATAACTGAAATACTGGGTCACACTTTATGTGGCTTTTATCCTAATAAGCATTGATGTTTAAAGGCTTTCAAATGTTTTAAAAAAACCTAATTAATCCTCTGACACATCTGTGAAATAGCTTCTTACTCCACTGATGGAGAAAGCGTAACCTTGTTCAAATGACTTGCCTCAGGCCATGCACATCAGCGACAAACCCAGCCTGAAAACTTGAGTTCCTAATAATGTATATATCTGCTTGGAATGTCTCACCACTGTCAGTGTTCTTATGGTACGTAGTATTATAGTAGCCTCAAACTAGGGAACACGCAAATAGACTTTTCAGAGAATCTAGGCTGACACCATTCACACAGAAAGGATGAAGAACTAACTATCATTTATATCAGGGATTTCAGAAAAAGACACATTTGCAAATGTTATAGGTAAATAAACCAAATCAAAATATAGCAGCAATTTTTATTATAAGATTTATATAAAGTGCAAATAAGCAAACCAGCGTGCTGGGCGGCCGGAGCAGACCCTCGCTCCATCAACGGCCCGCAAGCGCAATAGAGACAAACTTTTATACTTTTTTCAACTCCCCTCCCATAGTCACTTGTTAGCTCTTCATTGGGCTTGAGTTCGCGGGCTTTGTTCTGGTTGGTTCTGTTGTAGGCCTATTCCAATCGCCAGGTACTTTCCATCAGCAGTTTTAATTAGCTCAAATGTCCTTGGAGTTGGGTATGGGAATGGTCCCCCGACGTTCTCTTTGGCTGTTCTTTATCATCTTTGTCCTTGACTCCCCCCCGATCCTTGCTCCCTTCTTCTTTTTCTAATGAGTACACTTAGACAATATTTTTAGAAAAACAGGATATAGTACACGTGCTCAGTAAAGCAGAATACTTTATCTTGCCAGCTAGGGAACTACCAGCTGCAGGACAGTCAACTTATAATAGTAACACGGCAGTTAACTATTCCGCAGCTCACAACTCCCCAGTCCCCACAAAGCATTAGCTATAATATACGGAAAGTACAATATATATATTTTGACGAGTAAATTATTTTACCATTTCTTATTTATTACACAAATGTCCAAGAAGCATCAAGAAAAACATCATTACACTTGCTCCTTCATCCAAATACATTTATGTAAATAAGTCCCACAAAGGCTGTAGTTTTGGATAGTCCTGAGAGGAGTAGGCAGTTGGACTAGATCCTTATCGATCCCTTCCAACCCGAGATATTCTACGATTCTAAAAAGGGAGTCAACTTTCAAGACTTAAGAGGTGACGCAGGGTGATGTTTACAACCTGCAGTGCCAAGCGACTCAGGATGGCAACTTTGCCTGAAAAGTGAACAGAAATGGTGTGTCGGGGCAGAAAGGCAACAGCTTGGCTGATCTTACTAAGAGCTCTCTTTCTGTGGAATCCTTTCGAAATTTAAAATTGTTCTCCCCAAAATAAACCTCCTGAAGAAGTGCTGAAGCCACATCACCCCCTCCTGTGTGAAATTCTTAGCACAGCTGTATTTCTAGTCTGCACGTCCTAATCCACACACTGCTGCCCTGAAAGGCACTTAGAAAAGCTTGCCTCATAAAAGGAATCTTATAAATATTTGCACTGCACTTCTATATTTAGGCATATTGCTACTACAACAGTGACAAGGCTGTGTTAAAATTATTTTGTTTAGAAATCTGTAAGGGAAAGCAAACAGCAGAAAGAGGAACCCATACAGAGAGCAGGCTACAACATTCTTTGAAATTACAATTTCTTTAAACAGAAAAGCAGCAGCAAATGGATGTGTTTTGATTCCATAAACTTGGGGCTAGAGCCAACTTCTCCTTTCACTGGCCCTGGGCACAACCCCAGCATAATTCCACAGATCTCAGTAGTGTAACTGGAAGCGGAGCAAGGCAAGATATGAAAAAATTTCAGCAGATAAAAAGAGGTTGGCTGGAGAGCTGTGAAAGTGGGAGCAGTAGTTTGTTTTAGTGGCCTCAGGAAAAATTCACTTAATGCTTTTGGGTAATGCAAAGCTTTGAAAACCTGAATGTTTAGATGCCTTCTGAGAACTCTAGAGAGACATGCAAGTGTCAACATGCTGCTATTTGTCAGTTCTTTTAACACTGGGAAAAAAATAAAATTAAAATATATATACATATTGTATTACCTGGTAATGGCAATCACATGATGTCTTCTTGACCCAAGAGGTACTTAGATATGAAGTGAAGCTGATATATAAACCCACTTAAGGGAGAAAAATTACTGATGATGAAGATACATCTGAGGGAAGGGAGTGTGTAGTGAGAGCCTGCAGGCTTCAGTAACATGAAAAAAATTACAATTTCAGGAAAGTGCAGAGTAAGTACCATTTAATAGCAATGGAGTCACAGCTCTTACAAGGTAAACAGCTTGTGGACTCCAGGACGGATATTTTTTTTTTCACTCTTACTGTTAGAATAGCATAATAGAATCAATTAAGGTGGAAAGTACCACCAAGACCATGGGAGTCCAACCATTAACCTAACACTGACAGGTCCAGTATTAAAAGATGTCCCCAGGCACCACATTGACACGGTTTTTGAACACTTCTAGGGATGGTGACTCCATCATTACCCTGGGCAGCCTGTTCCAGTGCTTGACCATACTTCCAATGATGAAATTTTTCCTAATAGCCTGCCTGATCCTCCCCTGGTGCAAGCAGAGGCCGTTCCCTCTTGTCATATGGACACCTGAACGGAGGCTGTGGTGACGTGGGGGCCGGTCTCTCCTGCCGTGCCTGCAGTGAGGGGACCAGAGGAAATGGCCTCAAACTGAAACAAGGGAGATTAAGATTATTAAGATTAAATATTAATTTTTTTCTGTTAGTGAGGTCAGGCATTGGAATAGGTTGCCCAGGTGGAGTCACTGGACTGGAGTCCTGGAGGTGTTCAGGAGGAGTCTGGATCTGGCGCTGGGTGATGTGGTGCAGTGGTTTAGGGGTTGCACTAGCAGTGCTGGGCTGACGTTAGGCGTGATGATCTCAAAGGTCTCTTCCAGCCTTGATTATTCTGCGATCCTTTTTAAGACCCCGAGCAGCTTGGCCCCCACACGTAAGCAGCCGCTGCGCTGGTGAATCTCTCCCCAGCCCCGTGCGTTCCCGCCCCTCAGCGGCGAGTGGCTCCCTTTGTTACCGGACGGCCCCGCGGCTCCCTCCGCTCCAGCTCCCGATCCCTCACGGCCCCGCCGGGACCGCAGCCCGCGCGCAAGCGCGGAGTGGCCGCGCAGGCGCGCAGCTCCGGGGCGCGCGGGCGGCGCTTCCCCGGGGCGGGCGCGGGCCGAGGCACCGCGCGGGGCGCTCGGAGCGGCCCAGCCCCCGCCCAGCCGGGCATTGTTCCCGGCCCGACTCCGCCGGGAAGTTTCGGCCGCGTCCCGGCTCCGCTCCCCGCCGGGGCGGGGCGCGGGGCGGGGGCGGGGGGCCGGGGCCCCTTTGTCGCCTCCTCCCCGGCGTGCGGCGGCCGGCGCGGGGGGCGAGGCTCACCATGATGGCGGCCGAGGCCGCGGGGGAGGAAGGCGGCTCTGGCGCTTCGGCCGGGACGGCGGTGGCCGGGGCGCCCGGGGAGCCGGGGCAGTGCCTCGCTGTGTGCCGGGGCAAGGCGCCGGGGCCGCAGGGCCCGTTCCCGGCTGGCGGCGGCCCCCCGGGCGGGCCGGCTTTGTGCTCCGTGCTGGGGCTGCTGGAGCTGGGCGCGGGGCCTGCCCCTACGGCTGCCGATCCCGGCACCGCCGGCTTCCCCCCACTGCCGCCGCCGCCGCCCCCCTTGGCCGGGGGGCTGGGGACAGTGGACGAAGGGGACTCGCTGGACGGGCCGGAGTACGAGGAGGAGGAGGTGGCCATCCCGCTCAACGCGCCCCCCACCAATCAGTGAGTACCCGCCGGGCCTGGGGAGCGGGGGCCGCGCCGGGGAAAGTGTGTCAGACGGCTGGAAGTCCCACAGAAGTTCTGCGTCCCACCCCCCTCGCCTTCCCTCCCTCCCTCTCTCGGTTCCGCTTCAGCAGGAAGGCTGGTGCACCGGGACACTGCCCGGGGAGCCCCAGCCCGGGCGAGGGACACCCGCTGTCCGCAACCCGGGGCGTGAACGGCGGCAGGAGAGGTCGGATTCCTTCCCCTTCACCGAGAGTTGATGTTCCAGTGGTGATTGGGATCAGCTCCTAGGAAAAAGGGCGCTCGAGTTAGTTTTTTGCAAGTTTTCATTGCGATAGTGCAGGCTGCCAGGAAGAGTGAGTTATTCCGGTTGTGGATTAAGCTACCTATGGGGGGAAACTTTTCCAATCTCTGGTAGCGCCTTCTCCCTAGAGCCATAAACTTCATTTTTTTTAATGCAAGGAAGAAAAGCTAAACATGGCATAGTATACTTAATATATCATGTAATCATGTTGTATTGCATTGCCTTCTACTCAAAAAAGTAACGCTTTTCTTTTCCATTTCATATACGCGCACAGCCAAAGTAATGCGCACGTTTGGTCTTTTTAACAGTTCAGGCAGTCTGGGACAATGGATTTAAAATGAATTAAATTCAGTTCTGTATTTTAAAGTGTTGACAGGGGATGTTTTTATAAATGGTGTCTAACTGTCTTGCTGCTCAACTAATTTAAAATCAAGTTGTTTGCAATTATGTGATGTTTGGCGAGAGGAGACAATTGGAATAAATTGTAAACCTATAGTTAGGTTTTCTTGTATTTATCCATACATTAATCAGGATTCCTGCAGTTCTGGTAATAGAAGGGATCTTGCACTAGAGGCAGACTATTTCTTTGTTTATATTGTGTGAAATATAAGATCAGATAATGTTATGTAGAGTCCATGTGATTAGTAAGTACTCTAAAAGCAGTCTTTGGGTTTCACTATAGAAAATCTGCGGGTTTACACAAAGTACTTGTAGGGCTTGTATCAGAGCAAAAAATAACTGTTTTCTCCAATATTCTTACCATATTCTCCCCAGAATGAAATTGCTTCAAAGGCTTACATTCTTTCATCAGTGTCTAAATATGTTGTTCCTGAAGCTATGGCAAGTATACTGGATAATGTAGGGAGTTAAGATACAGTTATCTTTATATATATATATATGTCAGTTAATTTAAAAACCCATTTGAATTTTGGGGTCTTTCTTAAGTTCTCTCATAACTCCACTGTCAGACTTATCTTCTGCATTGTCACATACTTTCACGATTTCAGGAGCTAGTGTCTTTGTATGTAGAACATAAACTGTAACACTGTAGTATTTTTTTTTAAATTAATCTCTCTAACATTGATAGGCTTTCTGGCAGTCCATTATTCTTTTAATTCCTGGACTTGTGGAAGTTTGTAAATATTAAGGCTTTGCTTTGTGAAGACAGTCTTTGAATAGTCTTAAACTTGTAGAATTCCTTAGTGAGCTAGAAATAGGACTAGGCAGATTTGACAGAAATGTGGGAAATAGAAGCATGTAAAAAGCAAATGCTTTTCAGTCTTGTGTACCAAGCTGGTGAAGTGCAGGATTGTGCTTTTCTGGTTTTCTCTCTGAAAGTTCAGACTGCTTTTGTCAGACCTGGCTAAGTTCCTCAGCGAACTGAGGAAAAAGCCAAAAAGCAAGGAAAGCGGGGTAATTATTTATGAGCAATCACTTGTTTGATGCTAAATAATTGTTGCCACACTGACAATTTTGAATGGGTTTTGCAGTTAGAATATTGTCTTATAAGTCATATGCAAGCATGATGGTTTAACTTTCATAAAAGAGGATGTCAGGTTTCTGACAAGAAGGACAGGCTAGGGGAACACTGCAGCCCTGATTTTGTCTTGGCTCAGAAGGCTACTTACCTTATTTAAAGGGGCATTGATGTTTATAGAGCACCAGGGCTTAGCTCTGTAGCTCTAATGTTTTTCTCTTGAAGATTCTTAAGTACATAAACAGACAAGAAGTAAAATGCACGTAAAAATTGTTTCAGAAGTTTGTGCCTCCAAATACTTAGCCTTCTCCTTTATAGTTTTTATCTTTGATGTGTGACTTTTCCATAAAAAAATTAAATTGACTGATTATTTAGAAGCTTTTTTCCCCTTTCATTCATCTCTTATTTATTCTATGCAGTGTCAGTTTTTACCGTTCTCAGTTAAGTCATACAACGGGCATATGTCAATAGTAAATTCTGTCCTTTCAGTCCTGCTTTTTTTATTTTGGAAGTGCCATTTCTTTGTAGTTATACCATCTGCTTCTGTGGAGTTGAACTCTTGATTTATTACCAAAGCCACAGATCAGTATTATCCATCGTTGCATACCAGGAAAGCTCCAATGTAAGTCTTTAAGAATGGAAATTGATCTTTAAATTTCAACTTGTGTTCAATTTCTTCAGTTGGATGTGATTGCAAACTGCTGTTCCATTTGTTTAAATATGACTGCCAGCTCCACCCTTTCCCACTTCCTCCTAATTCATTCAGTTTTTATAGGAGAAATGCAGGGTGGCTTGTGGATAATTCCATGATTCTGTCACGTGGTTTTGTCTTAGTTGCTTATAATATGTTATGGGTACATCAGAAAATTAAGAATGCTCTTCACTCCTGGCCTTGCTCTGTGTGATACAAAATTACTGTTCTCTATAGGAATGAAAAGGTGTTAATTCTTTTATAATTGTGACGACTCACTAGGCTTCTTTTCCTTCCCATAGACGTGCATCATGTTTCAGGATTTGCTGAATGATTGGTTACTGACTGCAGGGAGAACTATCTGGTAAATGTTGCTGCTGGTTTTTTCAGGTTCATACTACAATTTTAGATTAGACTTTTAAGTTTAAATAAAAAAATTAAAGCATTCTTCACAAACTTAGACACAGCTTTATCACTTCTTCTTCTCCTAGCTTGTTTTACAATTTAAAAAAAAAAAAACAAAGCAAACAAAAATGCCTAAACACAAAACAAAATATGAGTTCCCAGTCTCCAAGTTCTAGGCCATAAAGATGTTATAGACAAATGCTTTTTTAAACATGAAAAAGCTTTTAAATACTGAAAAGTTGACATTCTGTCTTTCACAATAAGTAACGTGAAGAGATGGGAAGCGAAGCAGATGCAAGTTCTACACTTCCCATCAGGATGCTGTAAATATAGTTTGTTGTGGGAGGTCAGGATATGTCCATCTTTGCTAGCAAGCACCTAATGTGCCTAATTTCCTCTTGTCTTTTTCATGTACCTAAGGACCATGTTAGTGTTAGTGTTTTCTTTAATTTTGGAGCAGTGGGAGAATGTGTTACATATGTTAGCATGTAACACATCCTCTTTATGCATGAACTCAAAATCTCCCAGTAGGGTTGATTTTTTTTTTTTTTTTTTTTTAAATCTTTGATCTGGAGTGAAACTGGCTTAACTGTCTATTCACTGTGTGTGTGTTTTCATATTTTTCTGGAGCACAGCAGTGGTGTGTTTATATTGCAGCTTAATGCTAGGTGGGAGGCACAGGATGCTAGGAAATAAAATGAGCAACTTTGTGCTTGTTTAGGTCCCCTGCCTTCTATCCCATTTGCAAAGCTCAATGACAGAGGCTGAACTAGTGTAAGGAAATGCCTTCAGATTTAGTGAATGAATGCTGGTTCAGTTATTTATATATTTGATTTAAAATCTTAGTTGACAATATTGATTTAGATCCTAGTGTAGCATTAAGATGCTAGGAACAGTTCCAGTATTCTAGGAAAAATGGCATTTTCATGTGATGTTTTTAAGCAGTGGTTATCAGTTTGAAATGGAAATCAATTGAACTGTGAAAGTGGTCAATCACACAAAATAAAATAGGCTGTCAAAATAACGCCTGGTTAAAACAAATCTTGCCCAAAGCAGATGTACTCTTACAATCACTCTTGGTGCCTGTTGAGGCAACATAATGAGAAAAAGAGCTGAAGACAGAGGTGGGTAGAGAAATATAAGTAAGCATTGATTGCATGAAAGTAGAACATTTTTCCACCTGAACACAGAGTGAAGTTCTAGTAGCTTCACATGAGAGTTGGAAGTGTCAAGTTCAGAGTTCTGCACCATTTGTTTGTTTCAGAAGATCATGAAAAGAAATTTTGTTCCGAATAATGGTGAAAGGCCCTTTTGCAGACTGATGAATGAATCTGTTGCACTGGAAACTGAGGGGAAATAATGTTGGCATGTTCAGTTAGGTACTGTATTAAAAAAAAAAATGAAATGTGATATAAATTGATTTTGGCGTACGAGGTTTCTTCTCTTTTTAGCACTTAATGTAGTTAGCAGCGAATATTTTCCTTTTTAGGTAATGAGTTTCTTTATTAATTCCTGTTCTCTATGGCAGGGAAACACCTTATTTTTCTCAGGTTGGTGGATAATGTACTGTTGGGACTACTTAAAGAACAGACCTGAATATAAATCTG